AATAACTTCAGCATAATGTTGTTTTGAAAAGTTATACTCCAAAAAGAACATACTTGCTGCAAAACAAGCAAATTAGTAGAGAATGTTAAAAGGCAGGAAGGGAGGCAAAAAATAAACCAATCAGTTACAGCAATTATCAGGTCACCAAATCTGCATCCCATACAATGACCAAGAGAGAAGGGTCAAGAGAGGAGAGAGAGAGAGAGAGAAAAGGTGAAACTAAAAGCAGCAGCCCTCAAGAGCTTCAGTGATGGCCGGATGAAATTACACACAGACATAGACATCTACATGCTCTGCACACATCAATCCTGGAGCTAATCTCCAGGAGTTAGAGCACAAGAGGAATCTTTGTGTGCTTTATTTCACCAAACATCATGCAGAAAGGGGGTGGGGGAGTCCAAATACAGATTTCCTTAAGGTAAGAGTGTCTAGTTAGCAGCCTGAGGGCCTAGTATCAGTTATGTCCTTTCTAGGAAAAGGGGACAAGAGGAACTTGAAGCATGAGACAGCTCCAAAGGCATAGATTCCTTTCAAACCATCACACAGGACAGGGTTCAAACATCAAACTTTATGGAAAAGTGGGCAAGGTGAGAACATTTTTAGCAATAAATAAAACTTCCTGGTGATATAACGATACATGTGCTAAGAAGGGAAGGCCACACACTATATATAACTAAGAAGAACTAACCTGATGGAGTTTCATCCTAATGGAAGAAGACAGGGGCCTTAGATAATGCTGCCATACCAAAAGCACGGAATACTTGAGGAGGCAAATGACAATGTGTATGCAGTGGTGGGGGTGGGTGGTACAGCTTGGTGATGCCACAGACCTATAGGACTTAGGAGTCTAACATTCTTCTAGGCAAGAGGTCAGTAAACTATGGCCTATGGGTCAAATCCACCTGCTGGCTGTACACATCACGAGCCCAAAAGAGCTTTAACATTTTTAAATGTTTCAAACAAATAACTTATTTCATGTCACATAAAAATTATATAAAATTCAAATGTCAGTGTCCACAAAGTTTTGGTGGAACACAGCCATGGCCATTCGCTTATGTCTCTGGCTGCTTTCTAAATACACTGGTAGAGTTGCACAGGTGTGACAGAGAGATGGCGGGGGAAGGGGATGCTGACAAACTGGAAAATATTTACTATGGCGTCCTTTCAGAAAGTTTGCTGATCTCTGTTCTAGGCCATGAAGTCATGTAGTTTTTGAATGGATCATGGCTCCAAACCTGGGCACACTTGTTGGTTTGGCCCCTGAAAAAGCTAAGATTTAGACATCACCTACCAGCCTAACAGAGAATGCAACCCCACGGCCAAGAACAGAAGACAGGTCTAATAGGTCCTTTAGCTGCTGGGGTACCTGCCCATGGTAACCAGAAGGATGTGAAAGGTTTTCATGAGTTCAAAGTAGGATGACCCCTAAAAGCTTACATGGGAATATTCCGAAACAACATACTAGCTTTTCCTTCACAAGACAAGAATAAAACCATCCTCAAAATGGCTACCACCTTTAAGCATTTCTACTAGGGGCTTCGGGCTGAGCAAAGCCTTTTGCTTTTATTATCTTATCTAATGCTCACCTCCTCCAGACTGAGAGAGGCTGGATAGCTCAAGCTGAGCACAACCAGAAAGCTTAGGAAATGGGTGTCACAACCAGTCAGAGTTTGTGTTCATACCACTACCCCACTTAAAGGCAGTGGGCATGAATGCTCACCGCGAATAAATGAAAGGAAAAGACCACAGAAACAGTGGAAACAAGTTTGCTCTTACAGCCATAAGCATTTAAGTATTTTATTCATATCTCTCTTCTTACTCATAATACCTTCTCTTCTTTCAATGTTTAAAGATAGGAAAATACAATTCATTTCTTCCAGACCCTTTTCCCTGTTGAGAAAAATTGATGCAGGTACCCAACTGTGGAGGCATTTAAAAAATGCCAGAACTAGACAAAGTTATAGGTGTAGCTTCTACTAATGAAGCCCCTGGAGTACCTGTGAGGGTCCCCAACACGAGGTGAGCAAACCCTTTCAGAGACAATGGGCTGAAAAGTCCAAGTGCAGTTTTTCAGTTTAAATTTTACATTTAAATTACAAGTAAAGAACAAAAGTTAAGTGGAATCTTACATAAAGAGACAGCTGGCGGGTGGTTACTGTCACTTTCGGCCCAGCACCCATGTCTTCAGCTTTACCAATGATGCTGGCGGGTGGTTACTGTCACTTTCGGCCCAGCACCCATGTCTTCAGCTTTACCAAGCGCACCACCATCTCCCTTCAACTCCCCCCCCCGCCCCGGATATCTACAAGGTAAGGACCATTTAATCCTAACTCATTTCTGAAAACCTAACCTTTAAAAAATGTTTCAATTTGTTAATATTTTCATTATTCTTTGGGAAATAATATATATCATTACCATGTACCATGTTTATACGTGTTCATTCTGGTGTTGAATAGTGGTTATCACATCTAGCTCCCAAGTCCTTAACATAGGCCAAAGGAGGGGTTAAGAGTTTTTTTACACAGGAAACTTAATTCCTGCCTCCTCACACCTCTACTGCCATAGGCTTTATCCAGATGAGGAACTGGAGGGTCAGGTAGGTTAAGTAGGTACAGTGAATGAAAGAAGCCAGATTTGAATTTGAGTCTGTTTTGATGAGAAACTTTTTCCCATCATGCTCTGCTGTTTGGCCAAGGCAAAAACAGATTTTCTAGAATGATTACCTCCCAGTCACATTTCAGATTTGCTGGAGAGCAGTAAGAGAGTGGAGCTGGGTGAACCATTTGCTCCAAGAGCTCGTTGTCAAGATCAAATCTCTGCTTATTGACCATCAATCTATCTGCTCTAAATTTTTAAATTTAAAAACAGCCACAATGCACCCAAGACTAGCATGTCAAGCCCTTTATATGTGTGTATGGTTTATCAACTAACAGGCAATGCTTTGCTGTGGCAACAAAATATAAGTGTTTTTGCACCTCTAAGACCACATGTCTAGGCTAAAGACAAGTTTAAACAGCAAGTACTGGGCACAAAGATCTGTATTTTCTTTTTTTCTTTTTAAGAATTATTCTAACTCCCATTTTATTCAATAAAAACATACAACTCTAACATTTTGGGGCTCTGGACCTCTTTTATAACACAACCACAGACCTTCTCCCTAGAAAGACAGATACACACAAAAAGGTTTGATCGCAACGACAGTGAGTTCAGGAATCTCTTGAAGCCCATTCATGGACCCCCTAAAAGTCCAAAGGCACCAGAACAACCTTTGCTCTAAAAAAGATACTGCAGGTGCGCCTGGGTGGCTCAGTCGTTAAGCATCTGCCTTCGGCTCAGGTCATGATCCCAGGGTCCTGGGATCGAGCCCCGGCATCGAGCCCCGCATCGGGCTCCCTGCTCTGCGGGAAGCCTGCTTCTCCCTCTCCCACTCCCCCTGCTTGTGTTCCCTCTCTCGCTGTGTCTCTGTCAAATAAATAAAATCTTTTAAAAAATAAATTTAAAAAAATAAAAAACATACTGCAGAAATGTCTACATCATTTCACAGGCCTGGGGTAAAGACCTTAGAGCCAGCTCTCTCATCATCCTTTATAATTTCAGAAGACTAATATTAAATAAACACTCAAACAAACTTCCATAATTAGACTCCCATATTCTCCAAGAAATCAGCAATCTAATGACTTGAGTAAAATCACCAAATCTAAGATCATATAAATTCAAAGCCCAAATCAGTTTTGTTATAGCTTAGAATCTGCTACTTCTTTCTGCCCAAAGATTTCCCTAAAAAAGAAAGAAACATTAGTATGGTCTAGAGCTTGAATCCTTCCTATTTTAACATTCATGGACACATTAAGATATAATTATATGGAAAAAAGACTACTAAAATTTACTAAAACATGTCCTTTTACTATACATGATATGAAAAAAAGGTCAATTAAGAGAATTCTTAAATGTTCAACACATAGATCTATGTCAATGCAGTTGCAAGTTAAATTATGTGGTTCGCAAGCAGATTTTTAAAATTTTCATGAAGACTCAAATTTGGATGTGTTTCGAACCACTTGGATCAAGAACTTTCAGAAATGTTTATTTTTTAGGTATATCTCAAACTTTAAAGTCTTTCAAATCTCTCTTGTTCTCATTGCTTTACAAAATTTCTAGCACTGTCCATATTTTTAAGTTACAAAATGAACATATATAAAAGTTTGTGGCCAGGACTCCATCTATGAATACAAGATAGACTGTCTCATGAAAATTTAACAGTTACAAGGAGTGGTAATACTCTGCTATAGAAAACACTAAAGATTATTTTAAATCACTATCACTACTGTTTCAAAATCATTATATGATAAGATGAATTAAGTAGCTTACACAGAACATCATTTCACCACTTGACAATTATCTTTTAAACAGCAACCATCCCCACCAAAATGCAGTTGGGATATATAATCAATTGACACTTTCAATTTACAGTGTGTAGTACCTAAGATTTAAAGCGAGTCTCCCGTTGGTTAGAGTATTTTCTTTCCTTCTAAAACCAAGAAAATGAACAGGGCCTGATGCCCATGCACACAGAGTTTACGCCAGTATTATTTTAAACCAGGGGAGGCTTCACACCCTTGGGGAGGTCAAATTATACTTCAGAATCTTCACTCGAAGTAATTTTTTGGGGTTTTTTGCCTTTGTGCCAAAAGTCAAAGGTGCAAATTCTTGAAGAACATTATTGGAGTTTTGACTTCAAACATGTGAATAGAATTTTACATATAATATACTGATCTCTAGCCAGAGATTAAACACATTTCACTGCCATACATTTGCATTTACAACTCTTCCTCTTTGAAAGATCTAAGAGAAAACTAGGAGAATGAACCCAAGTTTCACAAGGAACCAGAAACAACCAAATCCAACCCACATAACTGCTTCAGCCCGGATGTGAAGAGGCAGGATACTTGGAGGGGACAGGAAAGCTGGAAAATAACTTTATGTTCAACAAATTACCAAACCTGGGTTAAAACTCAGACACGCTTCTTATGGCTAACTGAATCTATCCCACTGGAGATCAAATCAGCGGTACTTGTTCTTGTTTTCTCTCGCCTCTCACCACCTAAATGTTGCCATTTACGAGAAACTCAACGAAGTTGAATCAAAGTGACTTTTGGGAAAAGATGCCAATATGATCTACACTGTACTCCGGAAATGTGTTAACTCTACACACAAGGCGACGTTACTCCTTGAGCACCAACCCCACACCCCCCCCACTTCACTTTCAACTTCCCCTTAAGATGGGGACAATCACATAGCCATTTTTTTCCAAAATCAAAGAGAAAAAAATAAAGCACCCCCTCCAGATCACCGACGGCTCCCGGCGCCCCGGGGGGTCGGCGGGCACAACGCTCCCGGGTCGCTCCGACAACTCCTCCGGGAGGTCTCCAAGTTTCTCTTTCCCCCTCGCCGAGCACCCGCCAGAACCCAGGACGGAAGGGGGCGGCCCCAGGGGAACCCGGGGCCTTCGCGGCTCGCCGACCGCTCCGGGAGCAAGTGCCAGCGTTCGAGACCCGCCCGGGTGCGCGTGGGCGCCAACTTCGCAGGGACCCTCGCGCCGCGCCCCCTCAGCGCTCCTAGTCCTGAGCGCCTCCCGGGCCAACCGGGTGCGGGCGTCCCCGCCGCCCTCCCCTACTGCCCCCCCACCCCCCCGCGGAACGAGCCCACCCCCCGCTGCGGCAGCCGGGATGCGGCGACGGGGACCGCAGTCCTCTTCCCCAGGAAGGCGCGGGGGCCCGGAGCCGGGCGGCGCGCAGCCCCCGCAGCCCCGGCCGCGGCCGGGCGAGCTCACCTGGCGGCTGGCGGCGGCCTCCGGGGCGGCCTCCGGG